ATAAAGAATGTTTCAAAGCAGACTTTGAAAAACACTTTTAACTTCAATATTAATTGTAGTCAAAAGGAGCAAGAATATATATTTAAACCTTGTTTTTAAAATTAAGTCTAAAAATAATCAAAGGTAATCCTTGAAAAATTGGGTTTAAGATTAGTCTATTTCATAGAAACATCTGGCTGGGTTGAAATCTTTTACCCTTGGAAATGGGATCACAAATCCAGTATTTTTAAATTTAAGTAATTTCTAATTATTTTATCTGGGTCACAGTAATCTGCTCTTGCTAGGTCTAAAATGACACTGGATTATCATTACTACGATTATCCTGTTACCTTCTACTATCAGTAAGAAGATGGGATTTTTCCTCTTATACAGGAAGGAAATTATTTATTTTTCCGTAAGGGCAGATAATGGGAAAAAATTACCGAAAATTAACACGTAGCTTCCTCAAAACTTCAATCTAAACCTAAATAGAGATAGCATTTGTTTTGCTTGTTTGTTGTCTAATTCAAACTATGTAATTACATAATTTCTATAATGAAATGATACTCCTACCAGTGTTTTCCCAAAATCTATCTTGGTCTTTGGGGTGCAGGAGTAGGGGAAGGAGAAACTCATCAATGGAAGGATTAAATTTACTATGATTCCTTCTCCTCCTTTTCTATGTTACCTGACAAATTCGTCACTATTTTCACATTGTAAAGAGAGATCCATGGATTCTGACAGTGATAAAAAGATGTCCAGATGTGAAATATCCTATAGATAGTATCCATTTTTCCATTAAATTAAACAGGAGGCATATGTTACAAAGAAAGGAAAGCAAAATTTATATTTTAAACTTTAACATTAAATCTATTTTAAATGCAAATAATTCACTAAATTTAAAATTAAATATTGAATGCACTAACAACTTAATTAAGCCCCAAAGAACCTTAAATCAATGTGGGAAGTAGTGCATTCTGGAAACCTAAAAAAAAAATATTTTCTTCATTAAGAAGAGTGGTCCTTGAAGTACACTATGAGAACCCAGATAAATGCAATTGACATTTACTATAATTTTTTTAGTGATTTAGACTCAAGAGGAAGTACAGTAACTAAAGGTTGGACTAGCAAATGGAATATATAAACGGCAAGCAAATTTTATAAAGAAAGGAAGCAAAAATCTTTATTTTAAACTTTAACACTAAATACTATTTTAAATACTAATCAATTCATTAGATTTAAAATTAAACAATGAATGCATAACAACTTTATATAATTAAGCCCTAAAGAATCCTATATCAATGTGGCTAGTAGTGCATTCTGGAAATGAAAAAAACAATTTTTTTCATCAAAGAGTGTTACTTGAATTACACCATGAGAGCCCAGGTAAATGCAATTGAAATTTACTTTTTTTTTTTTTTTAGGGATTTAGATTCAAGAGGAAGTGCAGTGACTAAAGGCTGAACTAGCAAATGGAATGTATTCTGTCTCTTAATTCTTGCATTCTTTTTCAAATGTTTCACAAATGTTTAATTTCTATAGACATGAGACCTGTCTACTATACTATATGTATACAGAAAGAGATGAAACTTTGGGAGAGAGCTTTATTTAACAAATGGAATTTCTACTCGAGGGCTTCCCTGGTAGCTCAGCAGATAAAGAATCTGTCTGCAGAGCAGGAGAGCAGGGTTCGATCCCTGGGTCTGGAAGATCCCCTGGAGAAGGAAATGGCAACCCACTCCAGTATCTTTGCCTGGAAAATACCATGGACTGAAAAGCCAGACAGGCTGCAGTCTACAGGGTTGCAAAGAGTCTGGCACGACTGAGCAACAAACACATACTCAGTTTTATAAATGTCACAACCTTAAAACCAATATCCCTATCTTAAGAAAGACAATGAAATGTGGTTCAATATTATAGCAAAAGAGAACATCATACAATTTGAAAATTAATATTAATGTACTGGTAGTATGGAACACAGTCAGAAAGGAACCTGATACTGTATATCCTTTAAAAAGCATAAATATATATATATATATATAAATTATATAACTATACTATAAATAACTTTAGGTCCAACTCAGAAGTGAATAAGATAAGTAGTTTTATGTCCAACTCAGAAGTGATACTAAAATTTGAGAGCAGAATTTCTTAAATGATCTTGATAAATGCTGCCAAACCCCATTTTCTGAAGCTACTAGAACTGCTTAGATGAGAAGGAAATTATTACTGTCAACTATAACCCTGATGACTCTCAGAAGTAACTTGTAGTCTTAATAGCAATGCTTTCAAATGTCCATTTCCAGTCATTAACCATAGGAAATTGAGGAAACCAGAGAAACTTCATTTCAGGAAATATAAATATGATTTGGAAAAATTCAAAAGTAGAAATTTAAAAATGCAAGCATAATTTAGACTCAACTTAATGAGTGGACTATAAAGTAATAATTATGAGTGAGTGTAAAAGCAGAGAAAAAAGATTTTAGGGAAAGATCTATTCTCGTCCACAGGAATGTGATTAATATCATATTATTTATCATCACCATTAGATAAATCACAAGAGATACTAGAAAATAAATCAAGCCACTGAATAATAACAAAGGTATATCTAAACAGACATCATCCAATCCATGAATGACCAATAAGCACATGAAGAAGTGTAAAATATCATTAGTCATCAAGGAAATGTAAATTAAAACAACCATTTATTATTAAAACCTATAGAACAGCTTCAATTAAAAAGACTGGCAACAATAAATATTGATGAGTATGTAAAGCAACCAGAATTCTCATACACTGTTGGCTAGAGTGCAAAATGGTACAATCATTTGGGGAAGAGGTCTGGCAGTTTCTTATGAAATAAAAGATAAACCTATCTTAAGTGACCAGCAATTCTTCTCCTAGATATTTACCCCAGGATATGAAAACATGTTTCCACAAAAATACTTGAACAAGAACGTTCATAGCATTTTTATTCATAATTACCAAATTCTGGGACCAGACGAGTTATCTATTAATAGAATGTATAAACAAATTGTGGTATAGTCACACAATGGAATATACTCGGTAATAAAAAGAAATTATTAGTACGTGTAAAACATGGATGAATCAAAAAACATTATGCTGAATGAAAGAAGACCTAGATAAATGGATGTGAATCAAGTTCTATAACCAATACTGATCTATGATGGAAGAAAAACCAGATCAATGCTGCTTCTTCATAGCACATGGATCTACTGATAAGAGGCATGCGAGAACGTCCTAGGGTAACGGTAGCAGCTCTCGTGAGAAAGAGGTTTGGGATGTGCATGTATGCAATTATGCCATCGTATGTAAATCTTGCCTATGACACATTTTGAGTAAATTTACATATATGGTATGAGTTAAGGGCTCAACTTCATTCTTTTGCATGTGGATACCTAGTTGTCTCAGCAGCATTTGTTGACTTTTCCTTCCTCCATTGAATTTCTGTTCTAGATACAAGTCCTGTATCGGTACTCATATAAATGGAATCATACAAATCTGTGACCTTTTGTGACTGGTTTCTTTCACTCAGCATAAGGCTCTCTGGCTTCATTCATATTGTTGCATGTATCATACTCCACTTTCTGTGACCAAATAATATTCCATTTTATGGACACACCACATTTCATGTATCCATTCATCAACTGATAGATATGTGGACTGCTTTCAGTTTTGGCCTAGTATGACTAATGCTGCTATAAATATTCATATATAAATTTTTGTGTGAACATATGTTTCATTTTTCTTGGGTATACACCTAGGAGTGGAATTGCTGAATAAAATATAATTTATGTTTAACTTTTTAAAGAACTGTCAGACTATTTTCTAAAGTATATGCACAATTTTACATTCCCACTAGTAGTGTATGAGGGTTCTGATGCCTCTGCATCCTCACCTCTGTTATTATCTTTATTATACCCTCCTAGTGGGTGTGAGAGAGCTTCCCTGGTGGCTCAGTGGTAAAGAATCCACCTGCCAATGCAGGAGATGCAGGTTCAATCCCTGGGTCAAGAAGATCCCCTGGAGAAGGAAATGGCAACCCACTCCAGTATTCTGGCCTGGAAAATCCCATGAACAGAGGGTACTGGCAGGCTGCAGTCCATGGGATTGCAGAGTTGAATAAGACTTAGCAACTACAGAATAACAAGGATGCATGAGAAGTGATAACCTAATTATGGTTTTCATTTTCATTTCCTGGATGACTTATGATGCTGAACATCTTTTCATGTATTTACTGTCCATTTGTACTTTCTCTGAAGAAATGCCATTCAGATGCCATTCAGGTTGGCCGAAAGGGTTGTGCATTTTAAATTCTGATAGACACTGACAATCTGACCTTCAAAAACTTTATACTAATTTATACACCTACCAATAACAAATGAGAAAGCCTATTTACATCTGAAATGCAGTGTATTCCCAAACGTTTTCTGAAAGTTTCTTTTTTTTCTTGTTTTATTTTTCTCAGTCTTACTTTTCACATTTTTAAAATCTTTTCTGTTGTGACAAGTTCACTTTGGCTAACAAACACATGCAAAAAAAAAGCCCTTTACTTACTAATAAAATGTTTATACCTGCAGCCCTATTTTTTAGAATTTACCTTAAATTAGAAGTTAAAAGAGAAAAATAGAGATGTTCAAAGAGCTATTTGTAATATAGAAAAAAAACTGCATAGTAGATACTGATCAACAGAAAAATGGTTAATTAAAATATGACGTAGTCACTACATCAACAGTATATCCAACTATTAAAAACTATAAGCATGAAGTTTGTAGCCATATAAAATTACTTTAAGCTAATTTTTAAAAGCAGGATACAAAATTATATGTACACTCTGTACACTGATTATAACTACTTTATAATTACACAGGCATACAAAAATGGTACTATATAAATGACTATGGGTAAGTTTCTCTTTAATTTCTAAACTTTTTGTAACTTTTTAGAATTAAGTTCATAATTAGGACATATGTTCATAAATACATTAAAAACATACTTACTGTGATGATGCCAATTAGTTGAGTATAAAACAGTCCAGTTATTCCAACTAACATTGTAATGCCCATAAAGGCAGCTAGTCTCATTATGGCCAATTCATGTCTAACAACAAAGAGGTCCTGTAAGAAAAAGAAAGTCTTAAAAACAATTCAAAAATTACTTACAATTGCAATAATAATCAAGAACTGAGCCATAACAATTTCCCTTATTATCTTAAAAGAACTACACTCCCCTTTTATGAGTTTATTCCACTTTATGAATATATAAATATCTGAAATTATCAAAACTAATTGTTTGTAGTTCACAGTAGCAAGCTGAGAAACAGGATTTTACTACTCTATTATCAAATAAAAACTCAATCCTAAAGTTGCAAATTACCCATGCTCATTTGGAGCAAAAACAAAACAAAACATTCTTCAAAAAAAAAAAAAAACAGATGGTGCACAATCTCTGGTTCGACAAACAAAAATTTTATTATGGCACTGCTAAAAAGCTTGAATGCACAAGTCTGATTCATAATATTAAAGTTCAAGTGGCCAAGATACCTAGAGATTACGTATTTTAGTCAAAATGAGAGGAACACACAAACAGCAGGATCACATGAACGGCTCTCCTCAAGCCCCCCTCATTCATTCATTCATCCACTCATCCAACTACTACTGCCAAGCACTGAGCAATGTAGGAGAAATGTAAAAATGATAAAGATACGGTCTGTGCCTTCAAGAAGTATGCAATTTATTCACAGAGAGAAGCCAACTTTGCAAAACCCCAGAACAATGAGATATATGTTTTAAGAGGAATGTGTGCACAGAGGACAGGAGAAACAAAGAGGAATGCCTAGACTGGAAGGTTAGAAAGAGAAAAGCTGTGAGGGAAAACTGATTTTCCAGCCCAGGGCATGAAGAAGAGAGTCTTGAAAGTGATCCAAAGAAACTGTGGCGGGAGGTCAGGAAAACAAGGAGAAGCCATTTCATCTACCCTCACAGTTCTTTCATTCTCTCTCCCTCCTCTGGATAGACTAGTCCAGTCAACGGAGACAAAGTGAAAGAACAAAGACTTCTGGAAGCCTGTTGCTGCGAAGCTTTGGAATAGAAAAGTCACGGTGGATAAAAAGCAACAAAGGAATGGGAAGGACCCCAAAACATAACCATCCTCATGTTTTTTTAATACTGATTCAGGTTAAGGCTTAACAGTACTCTGGTAGCAATACCAGAAACAGGGAGGTCATTGAACATGATGATCTTGTTTGAAACAAAAGCAGCAATGCTCTCCTGTGTTACCACAGTGACCATCCACCAGGCTCAAGCACAAGCCTGAGTCCACACTCAAACCACTCAGTTTATTAGCCGGGAAGAAATTAAAATTCACCAAGACACTTAAGATGTCACATAATAGTCACATATTAGGCAATCATTTCAAAACTTGAGTAAAAAGAAAACAGAGAATCCCAACAAAACATGTAAAGGGGAAAAGATGGGGCTATAAATGACACCACGAATTCAGTACAGTAAGCTCTTCTACAATGTTTTTTCAAAACACAAATACGTTCCAAGATGACTGATACATTAAGTAACAATTTGACCATAGCAAGGCTCTTGCATTTGTTTATATGTGATTTTATCTGCAAGAAACCCAAGATGAACAATAAAATCTTCACCCAAGCCACACTGGAATACACAAAATACACACTGCCAAACATCTACCAGCTACCTCAACTTGTCGTAAGTGTTATGAGTCACATTCATCCACATATGGTATTACAATTTTCCCTCCAATTTCACATGACTCTCCTCCCATCACTCGTAATAACTTACATAAGGCAACCCTTCTGGATGCCCACTTCCACGAGAAAAGTTTAGGTCTCTCCTAAGGTAAAATGCAATGCTCATTATAGCATATCTTAACTAGTTAACATGTAAAACCATGCTGCTATTTGCATTAGGTGTCCTTTTTAAGTGTCACTGACAAAGTTTTTGAATATTTTCAGTTCTTTGCATAACCCCTATGGTTTTCTTTGAATGATTCTGCATAGTGGGACAAATTTTAGGAATTCACACATTGTGCTATGTAGAGCTTACCCTAATAAAAAAACATATGGTCCCCAACTGACAATGGTTCACCTTATGCTTTTTTGACTTTAAGACAGTGCAACTTCAGATATTTTCAATTTAGAATGGGTTTATCATGATGTATCCCACTGTAAGTCAAGGAAAATCTGTGACACATGTGACCAAATAAAATGCATCCTCTTTTTCCCCAGTGAAAAGATTAAAAAATTCTTTGCCAAATAGAATTTATACCTCTTAGGGATGAAGATGAGACTATAAAAGATCTATTTAAAATTACATTTATCCACTTAGATATACATTTATTTTTAAGAGTATTTGTGTAAAATAATTCAGAATTGCTTTTTATCACTCTTTTTCAAAAAATGTATTTCACTTTTATACACACATGATTACCATTAGTACTAAATCCATATTTTGAGGCATTTAACACACATCTCCAGAGCACAACATTTTTACTTCTATCTTCGATTTTTCTTTTTTTTTTTTAGATACAGCACTTTTGAATCCAAAAATTGGCTTGGGAAATTTTATCTAAATCACAAGTACCCATTTGCTATTCAAAGCTTTACTACATAATCAGTGTTAAGGCTGAATTATGGCTCTCCAAAAACTTGTATGTTGAAGTCCTCATCCCACCCCATCTTCAGTACTTCAGAATGTGACCGTATTTGGAGAAAAGGCCTTTAGAGAGCAGATGAAGTTAAAATGGGACCCTTTATGGTGGGCACTAATCCAGTCCGACTAGTATCCTTATTAAGAGGAAACTGAGAAACACAGAGAGACACCATGGGTGTTTAAGCACAGAGGAAAGACCCTACGAGGACCCAGAACAAGGCGCCACCTGCAGGTCAGTAGAAAGGCCTCCAGCGGAACCAAAACCGCTGACGTCCTGACTGTGGACTTCCAGGCTCCAGAATTATGCGAAGATGTGTTTCTGATGTTTGTGTCCCCCAGTCTGTGGTAAATTGTATCAGCCCTAGAAACCTAATAATACAGTAACTGTGTTTATAGTTTTAATTTCTTCCCATTTTTGTTAAGAAATGTGTTTATATATAGATGAACACATAAAACACAAGTTCAGTTTAGAGAAAAGAATGTGAACATTTGAGAACATACAGAGGCTTTCCTCAGTGCATTTCTTCCCCATCACATCCAATCCCTCATCTCTAACTTAAGGGAAAGGTTACTGATTTGTTCTTCAGACATTTTCGATACTACATTTCTGTTGCTTATCACAATTATCTATACATACTCTGAGTCTACTTTTTCATTCTCTTTATGGCAACTTTTGATAACCCCACATTCTTAATGTAGTCCAATTTATCAATCTTTTCTTTTAGTGCTTTTTTTGTATTTAGGAAATCTTTCCCAATCCTGAGGTAATAATGACATTCTCCTATATAATCTTCTAAAGCTTTTAAAAGCTTTGTAATTTTGCCTTTCACATTTGGGTCACTAATCCACTTGGAACTCATTTTTGTACACAGAGAAATACAGGGTTCTAAATTTACTTTTATTGTATGGATATTCAATAGTCCCAGGATGGTTTATTTAAAAAGCTGGCCTTTCCTCAGTGATCAGAGGTCAAGTCTCCATACATGCATGAGTCTGATATGGGCTCTTCTATTCAGTTCTCTTGGTTTATTTGTTTATCCCCATACTAGTGAGCACAACTTTGTTACCATGGCTTTGTACTAACTCTCCATACCTAGGTGGCCAAATTATCCCAACTTGTTCTTTTTCAAGAGTATCTTGGTATGAGATTAAGAGACACAAACTACTAAGTGTTAAGTAAATAGGCAATAAGGATATATTGTTCAGGACAGGGAAATTCAGCCTTTATACTGTAATAAATTTAAATGGAGTATAATTATGAAATATTGAATCACTAAGTGTGTTACATCTGAAAATAAGATAATATGGTAAATCAAGTATACATCAATTAAAAAAGGAATTATTGGTTATTCAAAATACAGCTGACTGCTGAACAACACGGGAGTTAATCTGTATATAATTCACAGCAGGCAATCAATATCCACAGTTCCTCAGCATCAGGAGATTCAACCAACCGCTGGAGTAGTTACTACTAAAAATACACACAGGTAAGCAGTCCTGCATAGTTCCAATCTTTGTTGTTCAAGGGTCAACTGTAATTTATATTTCCATAATAACTTTTGAATCAGATTTCAAGTTATAACATACATACTCAGACATACACACATCTGACATATTCTCTCCACTAAGAGTCACAATTTTCTACTAGAGGCCTTGTGCTTCTTCTAGTCAGATTTAATTCAGGAACTTCCTATTTCTTGATTCAATTATAAATAGTTCTGCTATTAATTTCACTGTCTAAGGCATTGTTTGCTGGCATTTAGAAGTAAAACTGATTTTTAAGAATATTTTATTAGAGTCACACTTCTTAAACTTTCTTTAAAAATCCCAAAGAATCTATGAATAAATTATTTACACAATCATGCCATCATGACTTTTACATCATATTTACACAACAGTAACGATGGGCTTATTTATTTCAGCAGTTCTACTGTTTCCTTCTTCTTAGTGCTTCACTGTATAGACTAGGATTCCTAGCATTGTGTTTCATAACAATGGTTACGGGGGCACAAAGGCATCAATACCTAGTCCTGCAACTTGGAGGTCAACATTTTATCATTAAAGAGCTACAGCTGCTGTGTTGTGTTGTGTGTGTGGTTTTTGGTTGTTGGTTTGTTTTGGAACCATTTATCTCACTCAAAAAACTCTCTAGTTCTCATTTGCTAAGAGTTTATACATGAATGGAGGCTGAATTTTATCTCTGTCTTCATACACTGATACATGTAGTCTTCATTCACCTGGCAATCTTCCCTAATCTGCTAGTGTGATAAAGCATACTGATTGATTTTCCAGTGTAAAAATAATCTTTCATTCCTAAGATAAACTTAACTTGTCCAGGCTGGTTATATATAACCAGATACAGTTGGCTAAAATTTTGTTTATCTATGTTCATAATTAGATTTTCTTTCTTTTTCTTATTATCTTTGATAGGTTAT